TATTCTGTATGCTATTCATTAGCTGATCACATGCCACCGCTAATTTTTTTCAAATGGATTCACTATTTATAAATGTTCACCATTTTGTGCCGACACACGAGGGGAGGGAGGGACATATTTATGCCATCTACTTTATGTCTTTAGTGCAGATGCTCTGCAATTCTCCTTTGGAGGGATTAACCTCTCTCATTTATCAAAGATGCAACTTTGGTTCCTAAAGCAATTTGTATGACATTCATCTATGTGCTATGCCTGAACTAGACAGCTTAAGACTCGCCACCCTCTTCTGCTTAGACTTCAACCACCTAATGAGTCCATTCACCTTTGTCTGCACAGTGGCCTGAGCTAGTTACACGGCATTGGTACTGCTCCTCAATCCCTGAGCTTTTTTACATTTAAAAACATGCACTTTTAGAATGGAATGGAAGAGAACAGAAAAGAATAGGATAGTTCCAGTTGGAAAGGACCTACAGCAATCATCTCATCCAACTGCCTGACCACGTCAAGGGTGACCAAAAGTTAAAGCATGTTGTTAAGGGCATTGCCCAAATAAAACACTGACAGGCTTGGGGCACCGACCACCTCTCTAGGAAGCCTGAATGTAGATTTTAGGGTTAATAAATTTCATGCTAAAATTTTCTGGTTTTTCTAGAGTTCACGAATATCAAATGGGATGCTCGGTGGCTGCCTAAGTAACAAATAACACGCATCTCCTTTCTGTGTTTCAGAGAGCAAGCCAGTTAATTTTAGTACTATTAAACCAACTCCGCTAGTAGTTGAATTGAATTTTTTTGTTGGTACAACCTCAGCCCTAATTAAACATTTATAACCTCACATAGCTAGACACAATGCAAGTCACCCTGGCTGAGGGACCTTTGCTCACGGAAAATCAGCATTTGATGTTAAAAAGATGGAATGGAACCAGCATGTTAAAGCATCAACTCACTATCCAAACAGTCCCTATTGTTACAGTTATTACCAGTAATATCCTGTTTGTCTCTGGGATAGCACTTTGGGTAGCCTGCCCTAGAAATAGCCATCTACCTTGTGGCTGAACCCTTTCAGTGTGGGACTTAGAATTTCATCAAAGGTAGAGGAACCTGCTCAGGGCTCTGGCCTCCAGGAAAAACTTCAAAATGCCTTGAGAAATAAGCATACTTGTAAACTTCCACGTACCCAACAAAAGAACCCAGTTTCGTATCCAAACAACAAATTTGCCTTCCCCATCTGTCTGGCATTGCTGCTGACCCTTCTTTACATCCATCACATCCCAGCCCTGGCAGCAGGCCCTGAACAAGTTCATTTTTGTGGACTGTGGGTGAAATCTGTGGCAGAATATTACCAGTGTGGTGCTAATAACTGGTTTGGACTCTTGTACAGTGCAGCTGCACACAGGGTGAAACATCAGCAGCCTTCCATCCCAGGCATCATGGTATCTGAGTTGTAAGTGCTGTGTGTGAGTTACCTGCAGGAAGCCTCTTCCTTCCCTGGGTGAAATCCACATGTTGCCTTTGATTTTCTTAGAGGTAGGTTGGGCACAAATTTTATAAAGTGGTTTCAAGCCATTTCATGTGAAAGGCACTGAATAAGTACTGTACAGATGTAACCTATTGGAGCTCAGCCCTCTGAAAGGGCTTCCTCACTGTTGTCAGTACATTCATCTGTTTCACCCGTGCCTTTGCAACCTGTCCCAGGTACACAGCTCAAAAGCTGCAATGCAGCAGGGCAAGCAAGCGTAGCTGGTGCTGCGGGACCATGAACGGTTAACGCCTTGGCCACGGCAGTGGTGAATCTGGAGCTTTTCCCAACGCTGGGCTGGATAGCATCACTGTCTCCTCCGAGTCGCTGGAGTCACAGCAGTGAGAAACTGGTCTGAGATCACCACTGGAATCCTGGATTTTTAATGCTTCCCTCCCTCTGTCTTTTTCCATTGGAAAGAAGGAAATTGGTAAATGCCCTGGGACTCACAACCAGGTTGTGACCTGGTGAGGCAAGAGGAAGCGCTGGCTAACACACCACTGCTGGTAATAACACCTGGGTGAAAAACCTTCAATGGAAAGTGCAGCTTTGCAAAAATCCGTAGCAATTAATTGCTTTTGAGCATTTCCATCACAGAAGAACTGAATCAAATGGTCTCAGATTGTTTGGGAAAGTTGAAACAGTTGGTTTCGGCAGGGGCAAGGGCAGGGGCAGGGGCAGGGGCAGACAAGCTAGTTCCTAGGGGTGAATGCAGAAGTGATTTTCCAGAGCCTCAACCACCCTGGAGGATCTTTCAATGTGTGAATTCTGCCTGTGGTATCCCCATGCCCATGGTGCCACTGTGCCCATGGTACTGCCGTGCCACCTCTCCTCTTGACCATGGGCTGCCAGGCAGGGACATGTGGAAAGGGCTGTTGCAACAGAATATCCTAAAGGCTGTAAGCTCCAGGGTAAGGTTGCTCCAGGTGAGCTCTTTTCTCGCTCCATACCCGCAGTATATTCAATAGGTTATGTTATACTTTGTGCCATGTAATATTTTTATGTTATATGAGTAGGATTTTTTTCCAGCATTCTCCTCCAGAAGTAATTTCCACTGCTTGGTTCTGTGTGCAGTTTTGTAGTGAAATTGGTTTAATAAATGATGGGGTCATTCAACAAACTGAAATTCTATTTTTGATCAATGCTAGTTTTGACCACTGCTGCTGGACAGGGTTTGTCTCAGAATAGCAGATTAATATGCAGTTATTTTTTTCTCTTATCTTTCTGAACTTTCTCAGTGAAAACATTCTTAGTTTATGTTTATGTGCTATAATAGTTAAGAAGGCAAATAACAATAGCTTGAGATATTTTAGAGGTTTAAATCTTCAAACCCTGAAAATGTAGCTTGATTTAAAAGCACATGCATGCTGCTTTTACCCGGCGCCCTAAGACAATAAGGATTACGCAGTGACACTCTTCTTCGTCCCATGCTTCTCTCAGCCCTCCTCTCCCTCAGTAACTTCTGAGCCCACTGGCAGTTTCTACTACTTCTGACAGAGAGGCAACGAAATCAAAGCAAGTCCCTACAAGTCACCTGCGGTGGGGTAGGGAAGAGAAACTCTGAATGATAGCCCTACCGAGTGCCTGTCTGCCTGGCTGGCATCAGCGCCTACGTGTGTGTGCATGCATGCGTGTGCCCCCACGCCCACACCAAACCCACCCAGCCTTCAGGACGATGCATGCACGCTCTGGTACCGGCCACTGTATGGGTTTTTCCATACGCAGAGGCATTCACAGGGCATGGGAGAGAGTGAAGGGCAGTGGGTGCTGGGACTGGGGAGTGAGGTTGTAAGGGACAAGCACGTGCTATTGCAGTATACGACATAGGCCAGCTGTGACAGGACAAGGGGTAATGGCTTTAAACTGAAACAGGGTAGGTTTAGACTGGATAGAAGGAAGAAATTCTTTACAATGAGGGTGGTAAAACACTGGAGTGGGTTGCCCAGAGAGATGGTGGAGGCCCCATCCCTGGGAACATTCAAGACCAGGTTGGATGGGGCTCTGAGCAACCTGATCTGGTTAGCGGTGTCCCTGCTCCCTGCGCCGGGGTTGGACTAGATGACCTCTAGGGGTCCCTTCCAACCCAAAACATTCTATGATTCTATGATTCTATAAATTCATGCAGCCAGGATTCTTTAGGGGTTTTGGCTCATGGAAGTACTTATTTCCACCATGCAATATTCTTATATCTTGTCTGGGTAAAGTTTTGTTTTTTTTTTTCTAAAATGGTCATTTATTCTATCTGGTGGGAAGGGTAGAGGAAAGAGAGCGTTGCTTGCATTAGAAGTGATGCTGCCCACTCTCGTGGAGGAAAACGTCTTCACATTTCCATGGATCAGATTCTGCAATTACACAGCTTTCTTGTTTGGCCAGTTCATCTGTTAAACCTGACACGAAGCCAGAATGAAAACAGAGATTTTCCCATTACAGAATACCAAATCTATGATAAGCCACACCATGAAAATTCAGTTTTTAAGGAGGTGGGGAGAGAACGAAGGAAACTCCAACTGCTGCTGCAAGATAAGCAATGAGTTTTGCAGTGCTTCTAGAATCTGTTTTTCAGGGATCTCATAAACAACAACAACCGTAAGCCAAAGGAGCAGTGAGAGAAGAAAACCAGCAGAATTTAGGATAGGAAAATTTAAACAGAAGTTTGAGCAACAGTTTTAGCCTATCACACCTTCTGCGTGATAACTTTGGACACAGCTGGGTAAAGTAAGTAACTGCTACAGAAAGAGGCCTGTGAACATTGTACTTAATCTGTGGGTCTGTTTTGCACAGCGATGCAGTGAACATCATCAATGATCTTGATTTTGTTCGTATCTTTTTTTCTTATACTACAAATTCCCTCACTATAAAGTACTGAAACCAA